CGTTGACTCGTCTATGTCTCAGCCAGCTAGGTTACCGCTTGTGACACCGGCCCGGACCGGACGTGTAATACTTGACCCTGAAATGAATTTTTGTACATCAACGCCAACAAAAAGTTCATGCATGTTACGTCAAGATCGAACTGGATAGAGAAAACTCGATAACCGGGATGACAACATTTGTCCCTCAGTGGCACTCAATATCCTCTGGAAAATCTGGGACTCCAGAAACTCATTGGGCTTTAAGGGCACTGTCACACCACTCATGTAACCTTACAAAAAGTTGTTCATGACTTTAGTCTTTGGACTGCTAGATTTAGTGGTACTCTTTAGGAAGTCGGCAATTAAAAAATTCCATCCTATATTTGAAAACTGTTCAAAGTAATATAAAAACAATGTTCATTGTATATTATAAAAAATCCATTTTCTATTTGACAAAGGTTCACCATATACTTAAAAAGTACAATTTGTACTGAACAAATATTCATCATAAATTCGGGAAAAAAAGTTCACTGTATATTGCAAAACCAATAAAAAAGGTTCAAAATAAAAAAAACAGAAGAAAGACCAAGATCTGAAATAGAAAAGGAATGGGAAAATAAGAAAAAGGAAAAGGGAAATGTCAATAAAAAATGCACCAGAACAGCCGTGACATGGGCCAGCCCGTTTAAAGGAGTCTTCGCTATACGGCGCACGCGGGTGTCATATAGGCTTGGCGGAGGTGCGCGTTTGGTCGCCCTCGCTGGCCTTACAACGCAGGATCATTTCACCTTAGTAATGGTCATAGTAATGGTTCCATTTGCATATTCGTCCATGCTCGAGCGCCTCACCAAAAACAAGATCCAAAAGAAGAAGAGTAAGACGACATCGACATGGATTATCAGAATTCACCGCAAATATTATGAAATTCGGCCCATCAAGAACGAAAAAACAGGTATATGTGTTATATAAAAGAAAAAAACGAAAAAATAACATGACCTATTACAGCGTGGAGACACATGCACGCCCCACGCGAACAGCAAGAGATGCCGTCAGTAAGCGTGTGGTCCATCTATATGTATCCAGTATTTTATGCAACGAAATAATAACCAATGAAACAATAGTATTAAGTTGACTGACGACCGGAGGCCGGATGCAACACTTGGTTTTCTGCCACCATCCTGAGCAACCCCGATAGCTTGACTCGTTGACCCGTCTACGTCTCGGCCAGCTGGGTCACCGCTTGTGACGCCGGCCCGGACCGGACGTGTACGACTTGACCTGACCTGAAATGAATTTGTATATAAGTTACCAACGCCAGGAAAAAGTTTATGCATGGTCCGTCAAGATCGAAGCGGACCGAGAAAACTCGAGGAAAACCAGAAGGGAAAATGAACTGAAATTGCCCGAGCACCAAACCAACCAAAAAGAGTGATGGGTAAAATAACGGCTTGAGGACAACGGCGTCTATGTAGGTACGCACGCCCGTACCTGCAGAATAATTGACGGATACACTCCAGTTGAGGAGAGGTGGTGGTTGATGGTTAGTACTACGTGCCACGACGGCCCGGCGGCGCGGCGGCGCCCCTGCCGGGACGGGGGCGGCCGGCACGGCGGCGGCGGCGGCGCAGCAGCCACGAGAGGAGGCTTTTGAGCACCCGCTTCAGCACCAGGCCCCTCTGGGGGACGTAGCGTCCCGGTGTAACTCTAGGGGAGTCGGTGGCTCGTGGGGCTGGGCGCG